TTTCACTGTTTATTCTTTATAAATAAATATTATTTTATTATATTTATTAATATCATTATAAGACTTAAAAAACCAGTAAAAAAGTTACTATACAGGGTGGGCCATTATTGCGTGGGTAGGACCTCTAAGGCTACACCCTTAAAATATTTTCCGTGAAATTCCAATTGTTCTACAGGGTGATTTATATTACAGTTTTGTTTTTTTAATGGGAACTCTCTGTATATTATTACATATTTGGATTCCCCGGTCAATTTTAGTGTGACTTTATGTATCACACATGGTATCTAAAATGAGTCGTTAAGCAGCAATTTATTATTTTTTCAAAAAGTAGATGTCTAGTAAAAATTGAAAATCGCAGTTATTATAAAACATAGAAGGCCGTGACTTTACAGTGTTCCTAAGCATGAAATGTACTAACATTTAGCAGACGATAAAAGTTAAACCCTTTTCGTGTTTCGCTACGCCAATTTGCAAAATTTCATTCCAAGATAACTTGATTATTTTAAATGGGAATACCAAATTTTTCTTCATTTCATTACATTCAGAATTCGATTACCTTTCTAATAATATAAAAATATATTGATATTTATTTAAAACCATTTAATTACTAGGCTGTGAAAATAAAGTAAATCTGTCACTTTTTGTGACATTAGAAATTAGTTATTAAAACTCTTTCTAGTTTTGCTCAAGTCGTTCTAAATTTAAGTAATAATAATGGCACATATTTTCCTAAATGAATTAATTGATATGATTTTCATTCTCGGAGAATGCTCTAGAAATCCAATTCGTGTTTATAAAGAAAAATATTCTGAACGAGAACGTCATTCAAGAGAAGAATCATTTCTTGGACAGGTTTATTGCAACTGAAAATGTTTCCTATATCCAAAAACAAGAAAGAATTAAATTTATTTTAAATGAAGAAAATAAAACTAATATTTTAACTGCAGTGGTAGAAAACCCTCATACTAGTACTCGCCAACTTGAAAGAGATTTTTAAATAAGCCAAACCTCTATCAGAAGAATAATAAATAAAAATACATTCCATCCTTATATTCAACTTCACCAAAAGCTCAAAGAAACAAATTATCAACACCGGATAAATTTTTGCAATTGGGCAGAAGAAAAATTAAATGAAAAAGAATATTTAAAAAAAAAAATTTGTTTACAGATGAGTGTACCTTTCACCGAAATGGTTATATTAATCGGCACAATTTTCATTATTATTTAGATGAAAACCCTCACTATTTCAGAGTCAATAGTCAGAAGAAATGGTCGGTTAATGTTTGGGCATGCATAATAGACACTTATGTTATTGGTCCATTCTTTGATGGTGTTTTAAATTATTTAAATTTTTTAAATAACCATTTATTTGGTCTTCTTGAAGATGTACCACTTGCTCAAATTAGAGATATGTACTTTCAACAAGATGGATCATCTCCACATCGTGCATAGCTCAACAATGCATTTAATGGAAGGTGGATTGAACCATTGCGATGGCCAGCTAGATCTCCAGATATTACTTCAATGGACTTTTTTATGGGGTTATATCAAAGAAAAAGTATGATTCGTAACAACCAACCACATCTGAAAACATGAAAAACAGGATTAGAAACACTTTTAAAGAAAATAACCCAGAAATATTGAATAGGGTTAAAATTTCTTTACGTCGAAGAATCCAAGTTTGTTTAGAACAGGGTTGTAGACATTTTGAACATTTATTAAAATAATTGCTTCTTTATTTTGATTGTGGTGGATTTATTTTTTGTTTTCTGTTTTTTTGTTTGTTTTTTATTTAACTTATTAAATGTTTTAATTGAAATTGCTATTTGTAATATTTTTAGCGGTCTACTAATTTCTAAGAGATTAGAAAAATTCTGTGAATTAATAGAATGTTTTAAATAAAATTACTAGGCATCTACTTTTTGAAAAAATAATGAATTGCTGCTTAACGAATCATTTTAGTTATCATGTGTGATACGTAACGTCACACTAAAATTGACCGAGGAATCCAAATATGCAATAATATACAGGGGGTTCCCATTAAAAAAACATAACTTTGATATAAATCACCCTGTAGAACAATTGGAATTTCATCGAAAATATTTTTAGATTGTAGCGCCTTAAAAGTCCTTCATGATGCCCTAAAAATCAATTTTAAAAATGTACCTTAATAAACCCGCAATCTTTTACCCACACACTAATGGCCCACCCTGTATATAGACCAAACAACTTGTACTACATCATGAGTTCAGGTTGTCAGAGTCATAAAAATGTTAAGTCTCAAAGGATTTTTTATAGTTCACAAATCTTCCTATTCTTCATTTACCAAATGAATCGGTGAGTGAAAGAACAATACATATACAAAATGACAATTTTGAGAAAAACAATAAAAACTGTTTTAAAGGAGAACTAAAGGTTATTCGGCCTAATTATGTATTGTGAAGTTATAGAATTTTTGTTAACCGATAATAATACGTACATAAATTTAAAAAGAACATTATGCAAAAAATGATATTTAAAAAAAATTACTTCCACTCAATTTAAAAAAAATGCTTTTCAAGAAATAATATATGGTAGTAAAACTCTAGGATTTCATCACTAAAGTAGGATAAAAGTATCTTTATATTGGCTATCTTCTTTACGTTAATAGGGACAACTTCTCAGTATGCCTTTTCTAATGTCGGGCATACACGCAACAGTCTACCGGAGAGGTCTACCTGTGCAGGTGTGCCTGCGCAGGTCGGCTTCATGTCGTAGCGTGTATATCTCCAGCGCAGGCACACCTACACAGACAGACTGTAGCGTGTATGCCCGCCATAAGGGTTTCTGCAGACTGGCATTAAGATTGATCAGTCTAATGCGCCCCACACATAAAAGTGTGCGAGATAAAACTGCCTATGAAGGCACTTGTAGTAACATATCCAGGAGTGTTATCAGTGTATGTAATCTGGCTGTACTGCGGAATGACAAAATTAGATTTTTGTTCATCAGCTGTTTTAGAGGTTTTTTATGAAATTGCGACCAACAGTTTTTGAAATCTGTGTTAAATTTGTCTACAAAACGACATGGCTACTGAGTGAAAAAACAGTACATGCGCCGTACGTGCACCGTTTATTCACTCAGCCGAAAATTGAACAAGCCCCCATCGCTCGAATGATGATGGTCGGTGTATTATTCTTTCGCTATGTGATAGGCCTATGAATTTTAAACAATTTGCCTATCGCAGTTAAAATTATCGTTTTTGGCACTTGTATTGTTCTTTCACTCACCACATCAAATATTTTAGTAATTAATTTTAACCTAATACTACACCGAAAAAAAATTCTTACCGTGGCAGTAAGAAAAAGTTAATTAAATATGCCTCAGCTAGAAGATTTTACCGTGACAGTTATACAAGATTTGCTAATATTTGGATTACTAAGAATTTATTCGACTGCGGCAGTAAAACTATGTTACAGCTCTGGTCAAATATTATTACAGAGGTAGTAATTTTTTCTTACGGCTACAGTAAAATTGTATAACTACCACCAATATCTAGGATTACCATACGTAACATCTAGTTGTAATGCTGCAGTAATACTGTCTTACTGCTTTGGTAAATCTGCTCTAGTGCTGCAGTAATAATTTCTTACCACTCTAGTAAAACGGTTTCACTGTTAGAGTAATAATATCTAACCACTCTAGTAAAACTGCTGTACTGTAACAGTAATATTATCTTACTACTACAGTAAAACGGTATTACTGTTACAGTAATAATGTCTTACCAATTTAGTAAAACTGTTTCACTGCTACATGTATAATATTTTGCCACTATAGTAAAATTGTTGTACAGTTACAGTAATAATAGGTTACTACTACAGTAAAACGGGTTTACTGTTACAGTAATAACGTCTTACTATCATGGTAAAAATGTTTTACCAAAATATAATTTATATTAAAGGCTGAAATAGGTTTAACAAAGGTAAATATTTTTCTCATGAACTCGAAAAATAAACTCTTTTATCTTTCGCTTCAAAGAAAAATATTTACACAAAATTAAATCAATTTTTCATAAATGTATTGACAAAAAAAAAAAAAAAGAAAAATTGTTTATTTTGAAATCAGCATAGCACAGCAGAGCTAAAATGTTTTTATAATTTTTATAAGGTACAAAAAAACATTTTAATCCAAAGCTGCAGGAACGGAAGTTTACTCGAAAACCATTCGAGATATAAATGTCAAATTTGGATAATAAAACAATATCAATTTTACCATGGTATTTTCTTTGGTCATACAAAATTCCTCGAATTTTTTCTTAAAATAAGACGCCTTATCTTCATCTAATAATTGAAAGGAATTATCATCAATGCCCTCATCTAAAAATAAAAATTAAATTTGTGTGGAACGACAATTCAAGTTTAATGAAACGTAGTATTTGCAACTGAAAGTGAACTTGTTTATTGTCACTTAAGTGTTTTGATCAACAATCTACAATATTTTTATATTTAAGGTTTTTTTTATGATTTTTATCACTATATAAAGCATAATCAGGTTGTTAAAGATATATTTTTTAAGTAATCTCAAATAACAATAGGTTTTAGGAGTTTTAGGAAGTTTTTATGAGCTTTCCCGCTCAAATTTCGCGATCGCAGCAGAAAGTTAAAGACTAGAGTAGAAATGAAACGCTCGAAAATGATATGGATCGATACGATTGGTATCGCTATCGCTATGTCTCATTGAACACAGCTTTCTTTTAAATCTAACAAATTTATTGCTCTGTGAATCTTAACCAAACATTTTTAATAAATTTTAATCTAAAAACTTTCTCTTGGAAATATTAAATTTTTGATACTGCGAATATGCTCCGGTGCAGTTAAAACATTTCTAGACCGTATAGCTCATCCTCAATTCGAAATAAAAGCATTCATGCATTATGCATTTCCCGCCTTTTTTACTAATGTATAAATAAAAATGGATACAGGTACTATATTAAGATAAGTATATTATTACGAATTACTTACCAACGAAACTATGAACTAGGTCCGAAAACCCCCACTCCGTTAACAATGCACAATATTCCATATTCAATATTATACCATTTATACCCCCAGATAGAAATTACGCAGCACTTCGCACTTCTTCATGCACGCTATGACCTAAGCTCACGATGCGACGATTGAACGTGTTGACTGCTTCTGTGATTATCGTCGACTCAAGTCAACGCCTGTGCAAAAGGATATGATCGAAGCTCTTCGTCATTAATCGTAACGGTTTGGTACATTTGTTGTTAACCTGTCTTACCGTGGTTGTTAGAAAAATATTACTATTTTGCAGATTCAGTATGCTAGTTTTACGGTGGTAGTTATAAAAATGTTACTAGTCAAGGTCTAACTGCGGTAGTAATACAAATTACTGATTCAGTAGGAAAGGTTTACTATGATGGTAATACGAATAATAGTAATTCTATTTCTAACTGGGGTAGTAAAAAAATATTACTGCCACGGTAAGAATTTGGACTATAAAACTTAGTTTACAGTCCTAGTAACACATCTAACAGTTGTTGTTAGACAATCTAACAGTAGCAGTAAAAAGTTTTACAGTTATAGTAAACTTTTTAGTAGTAACACTTTCTTACTGAAGCGTTTTCCTCAGTGTATCTACTTAAAAACTACTGGTATTGTCCCAGTACCAAAAAATTAGAAAAATAATAAATTTATTTAACAATTTCATCTATTAACAGAGCATAACACAAGTTGTTACATAGTATGTGAATCGGCAACATATATCTGTAACAAATACATACAGGGGTCGGCATAAGTCTGGCAACTCTCGAAAAATCGGCATAAGTCTGACCAAAGTTATCTGGAAATGCATGCTCGAAGATTTACGTAGGCAAATAGACAACGATCCAACACTCGTGAACATCCGTCATTTCATGCAGGTTGAAGCTTCGCCGCACTACGCATTATGTGTGCGGGAGTTCCTTAATGATCATTTTGGAGAATGGATGAATCTTTGAGTGACCCGCACGGTACTGTGACCTGAGACCCTGCAATTTCTTCATATGGGGCCTTATCAAGGACCGCATTTTTGCAAGAGAACCACTCACCCTTCCCGAACTCCGAACTGCAATTGAAGAAGAATTTGAAAATCTTCGCGGACACCTTAACATGCTTCGCTTGACCTCTCTCTCCATTGAAAAACGTTGCCGTCAATGCTTTGTTCAAGATGGGCATCATTTTGAACACTTAAACTAACCCTTTTTCGAATCCCTTTTTTAATTTCTTTGAGTAAATTCATTTTGACGCTGCATTTTTTTATGCAAATTTGTTGCCTGACTTATGCCGATCCCTGTATAGTAGACCTTAATATTAGTAAACAAGATTTTTCCTCCGGACTGGCTCAAAACACAGGTTTGGCTCAAAAACAATTTTTATTTCATATCAATGCTCTACATTTAATACTACTATATATACCAACATTCAGTAGACCAATAGTCCCTTTTTCTCTTAATGATTAGCCCTAATGACCATAACCAACTGAAGACACAAAACCAAGGTTTATTTCGCTTCTTTCAACAAGTATTAGAAAATAAAAATTTTAAAAAACCGACTTTAAAAACGTGCAGATGCCATTACCACATCTTAACAAAATTTATATAGGACCTCCCCTAAGGTAACCCCTTACTAACAAAAAAAAATCATATAAATGGGACAAGGTAGTAAAGCATTATAACTAAACATACATATTAATAAAAATAAACTGCTAACCAAAAATACTATCTACGAGTACTATATTACTTCAGAATACTAAAATAAATGAAGTTAAACAATTAACGAAAGGCAAATAAAAAACATGACAATAGTTTTATCAAACTCTCTTGATTACACATGATTATATTTTAGGACAATTTGCCCAGAGCTCCTATGGCCTTAGTGAAATGTAGTTTGCATCAAACTAAAACTGTGGGGTTTTGGCGACATCCAAAGGATGAACAAAAATGAACAAAAAGATATTCATACGTCAGCTCATCTTATTAACGAAGTGAGCCAAGTTCAAACTGAAGTTTCGGGTCATCTTAGACGTAATGCACGGCTACGAAAAACTGAGTAAATATATAGGTTAGTACCTAATTTATTTGTGCTATATTATGTACCACATAGTTTTTTTTCTTTCGATTTATGGCCTAGGTATATGTACCAGTCTCAGTTTGTGTTTGAATTCTTATTCATGTTTTGTAGGTTTTTTACTGTCTTCCCAGAACCACTTCAGGTACAGCACTGTTAATTAGAACCCAATTGTGTATAGTTGAGTGGGAAATCCTATCTATGCATTAGAAATAATATATATATTTTTTTAATTAAATAAAAATTCTTGCCACTGCATTGGTGCGATTCGATTCTGAGACCTTCCCATCTCAAAGTCATGAATCTATCCACTGAGCCAACCCACCCCTACCACATAGTTAGATGGTTAGGAATGTTAGGTAATAATCTACAGAATGCTAACTCCAACTTACCTTTAAGCCTGGTAAGACTCTAATTAGTTGAAATAAAGATAACTGATTCAACAATTATCACGGTCAAAAACAACGGCTGCGTTCAGTGGCTCAGTTAAGCTACGGTTTCCTACAAAAGGGTACCGCAAAAGAGTGGTCGTAATTTGACGGCAAGCTTAGCCACTAAAAATCGTGTATGTACTTGCAAATTGGAGTATGTTCCTCCAGAGCGGTGGGCGCAAAATATACGGCACCGTATTTTCTGAAGAGGCAGCTTCTGTACGTTGGGATAGTGCAAGCACGATTTATGACGGTGCTCCAGTGTAGTAATTGTATGGTTTTAATAATAATAATAATTAAAAATGGCTGAAGAAATTAGTTGGTCTAGCAAACAAGATAAAATTTTGACCGACTTTGTTCGAACTCATGAAGCACTTTTTATTGTAAAATCATCAGAGTACCGAAAGAAGCAACTGAAAAACAAACCTTATAGCAGGAAATTGGAGTTATACTTTACAAAACAAGAGGGTAATATTTATTATAATTATACAATATAATATTTTAATTTTTTATCTTCCCAATCAATGGCGCCAGGTCCGATAAATTAATATTTTAAAATATCACGAATTTTAGGTGATGTCTGTCGGGCACGTTTATTATTCACGTAGATGTATAACGTTATCTACTGCAGCTTGCCGCCGTAATTTATGACACCGTATTTAATGTCACTTTACAATAATCTACACCGTTCAAAGCGACCGTACTACTCGTTGACAAAAACGACCGTCAAATTAAGGACGCTTTTTTACGGTACTGAAGCTTTACACTATTTCCACTATTACATCACGTCGCCGCTCTGATTTAGCTTTGGTGCCAGATTGAAGCTCTGCTGGCCTAATTAAATATTTTGTTGCATTTTGTGAGTCTCCCTAAATATGAGGCCCTAGGCTAGCGCCTAATGCGCCTAGTGGTAAAACCGGCCTTGCCCATTTATTGCCTTTTTTCACTATTGTCCAGTGTGTGCATTCAAAGAGGGTGCGTTCTACCGTATTTGAGTTGTTGCAATACCAGCATAAGTAGTCTTCATTTTTGCAAATTCCATGTAGGTATGAACCAAAGTTTCTATGCCCTGTAATGGCTTGCGTTTTATAAAAGCCTTATTCCAAGCTGTAAAGTCCTTAATGTACATCATATTATTTCCACATAACCAGCTGATACAAAAAAAAATTCCTGCTTTACACCGTTGCAACACTGTATTATTTAACAGATAATAAGTAATAATAAGAATGCAAATATACTTTCTAAAAAGAAGTTTAAACAACATTTTAGAACATAAGGTTAGGTAAAATCCGAACTATAATCATAAACAATCCTTGTAACAAGACTCTCCCATACTTGCCCATAATAATTTCTCAGCTACGTGGACAACACCGTAAATGTCAATGTCTGCAATTCGAGTTTTAGGAACGAAATATATCATTGTTTCATTTTCCATCGTTTTGTTTGCCATTCTTAAATAGATGATGCATCTTCTCCTACACCTTTAAAGATATGGGTGTTATCCCATTCATTGCTAGTAAGGCTATCATAGGGCATGTCATGTACCCTGATGTAATTCATATTTATTTGTTTCATCACATATAGTTGTAGCATTTGTATTTTAACGCAAGGATAAGGTACTTGAATATTCTTTCCTCCATTATCAAGTAACAAGTTGGACCAGACAAAGAAACACGTCGGCATAAACTTACAGTAAATCCAGTTTCAAACGTCTTTATCTTGGGGTAACAGACTTTGTATCTTTCGTCCCCAATAAGTTTTTTCTCATAACTTCAATAGAAGTCATTTAATACGAGGATATATCAGTATATAACGAGACTGGTGCTATAACTTCTTTCAGAGGTAACATTTTATAACCCATAAAATGAGACATGAAAGCCTTATATTTAATGTACTACCCCGCAAGTAGGCTTTGATTTAACTTTTGACATTTTTTACAAATTAATTATTGAATTGTCAGTGTTTTGCGTACCCATCAAAAAATGAAAGTGGAGCAAAGATACGCGATAAAATTTTGTGTTCGATTGGGTAAAACACCAACTGAAACTTTTGAAATGATTAAAGGTGCATATCTAGATAATAGTTTATCACGATGTAGAGTGTTTGAGTGGAATAAAAAGTTTAAAATCGGTTGTAAATCAGTTGAAGATGAACCTCGTCCCGGTCGACCATAAACTGCGAGAAATGACACAAAAATTACAGAAATTAACGACTTGATACAAAATGATCGCCGGATTGGCATAAAACGAATTTCTGACAATGTTAATTTGTCTTACGGTACCACTCAAAAAATTATTCATGAAGATTTAGAGTACCGGAAGATCGCGGCAAGATGGATTCCAAAAGTGATGACCGATGAACAAAAAGCGAATCGAGTGACAATTTGTCAGCAGTGGAAAAGGCAATTGCAACGTAACCCACAGTTTTTAAATAATGTGGTTACATGTGACGAAAGTTGGTTTTATCATTACGATCATGAATTAAAGTCTCAAAGTATGCAATGGAAGCATAAAGGCAGCCCAAGACCGCAGAAGGCCAAAACTGCTAAAAGCACTGGTAAAGTGATGCACCTGATTTTTTTGGATAAATTTGGCGTTATTTACGATCACATTGTACCTAGAGGACATACAGTAACAGGGGAGTACT